GCTAACCAAATCAATACATGTGTCTGCTGTTGGCATTTGACCATCTGGCTTTTGTATAGATGTAATGTTAGACCTAACTAGGTTCCTGAGTAGTACCCTTTTGCCCTTTTTATTTTGGGGTCTCCTTATTAAAAACCCAACTATAGGAAAAAGGGTACCCTCATTATTTCGGGGCCACTCAGGAACCTAGGTATAGTATATCCTTTTGCAGAGGGCGTAGGGTTCAGGGTTCACGGTTTAGGGTTGAGGGACAGTCTAGTATATCCTTTTGGGGCCCAAATATCGATAAACAGCTTACTATACTGGTGCATGGACCCTTTGGGATTGTGAGGTCTTGGGCATCACAAAAGAGGCCAGCGTGGCAGAGATCAAGAAGGCACGGGCCTACCTTAACCTCCAAATAATCAAGCCGTTTAAGGCTCTGTATTCATGATTTGTGTATGCATGTCCTTGAAAAGTTAGTAAACCCCAGGCCGAGGCCCCAAACCCTAAACCCTAATCCTTGAAAAGTTAGGTTTTTCGGGCCGAAGCAGCCCGAATCCTAATCGGTTTAGGGTTTTCGTGGACCTTTAGAGTATGTAGCATAAAGGCCTTTCATGTGTGTGTTGGGCCATTATTTCACCTACTTTTGGAGGTTTTGGTATGGGCTGAGGGAAGGCCAATCGGTTTAGGCTTTAGGGGTTTAGGCTTTTAGGGTTTTTGGTTTGGGGGTTTAGGCTTTTAGGGTTTTGGGTTTGGGGGTTTAGGCTTTTAGGGTTTTGGATTTTGGGGATTCAGGGCCTAAGGCGTCTCGGCGGAAGTGACGTGCACCCCCCACCCTTTGGTTCCCTTTGAAGACCGGACAGCTATGAGACGGTGCAAGTACACAAGTAGTAGGGGTTTAGGGTTTAGGGTTTAGGGTTTAGGGTTTAGGGTTTAGGGTTTAGTTTAGGGTTTAGGGTTTAGGATTTAGGGTTTAGTTTAGGGTTTAGGGTCCGAAGTACTGTACTCTCACTGGCTTGTGCGGTCTCGAAAACCATAAAAGATTGAACAAGCGAGGAGCTTCGTCGTGAGGCCCGGACGACAGTCCGCCACGATGTCGCAACCTACGTACCCTAAGCCCTAACCCCTAAGGCTTCACGGTTTAGGGTTTAGGGTTTAGGGGGCCCCAAGCCTTAAGCCGTAAGAGTGAGCAAGTGCTTGCAAGAGGGCCTCAATTCCTGCTGCCAGGGTCGTCGAGCCTATGGTGTATGAGCCTTAGGGTTCATTTCGCCCTTACCCTTGACCCTCAACCCTCCTTAAACCCTTTCAGGGTTCATGTCGTCGAAACCTTAAACCCTCCTTAAACCCTTTTGGGTTTCATGTCGTCGAAGCCCCAAACCCTACACCCCTTCAAACCTTGTAGACTTCGTTTCGTCCTTAACCCTAAGGGTCCATGTATTCATATAGTATATACATTGGCCTTGATGCAGTTCCTATTTAGGTACTTTAGGGTCTAAGTACCCTAAACCCTAAACCCTAAACCCTAAATCCTAAACCCTAAACCCTAAAACCCCAAACCCTTATGTACTATATGGGTACATGGACCCTTAGGGTAAGGAACATCGCAGGCTGAGGAGGGACTTGCCGCAAGGCCACCTCGACCAGGGCATGGTTCTGACAACTTTCGGGCGGCCGTCGCGAGATCCTTAAGGACGAAATGACCCTTAAAAGTAGGGGCCCTGTACCTTTATACTATGAACCCCTATATGGTTGAGGAACCCTAAACCCTTTTAGGGTTCATTTCGTCCTGAAGGATGGAGTCGCAAGACTCTGTCTCGACGCTGCTGGAAACCGTGCGCGTTGCCGGCTTTGGCCTGGAAACACCACAAAGACTGCGTGACCCTGTGGCCAAGATATGGGTAGTTCTCTAAAACTAGGGTCCCTTTTTTAGGTCCCCAATATAGTACGGCACCCTTGTAAACAGGACCCTAAACGGGACCCTAATTTAGAGAACTACCCACATGCCAGGATAATTATGGGAGCGCTTGGACCATGAAGGGTGCGACTAAGGGTCCAAGGGCAGTCTACAGTCGATGTGTGGCGTAGGGAGGGCTTGGTACTTGTGGTGTAGGTTCTATGTGTGCCAGGTGCAAATCTTGAATCTTAAGCATCTAGTTTCAGGTGGGGATTTGGGGCTTGTTGTCCGGAGTGCAGAGTATGGCATTGTGATCAGGATGTCCCCAGGGCACTGTGCGAAAGGCAACGCCCTCAAAATTGAAGCATTTTAGATACAGGTCATTTGCTCCGAATTGAATGCATTAGGGATCCCTACAATGAAAACCTCGTGTGCCTTGTTCGTTCATCTTGTTTGAACTCGGCACCAAAAGCCTCTTGCAAACCCTAAACCCTAAACCCTAAACCCTCTAAAGCAACTGCAATTTGGCTGTGTGGCCCCGAAGCATTCAACATATAAGCGGCTCAGAGCCTCTGGCCCTTCGACCTTAGACCCTAAACCCTAAACCCAAAGCCCTGAAACCCATTAGGGTTCAGGGTTTAGGGTTTAGGGGTTTAGGGTTTAGGGTTACCCTAAACCCTAAACCCTAAACCCTAAACCCAAAAGCCTAAACCCTAACCGGTGCAGGCATACTACAGGAATGCCCGGGACAGCCACCCTGACAAGTTCCCCGGCAACGAGAAGATGCGGGAGCGTTTTCAAGAGGCACCTACTCGCCCTGTTTACAGTATACGGCCTAGGATTGAGGATTTGAGGCTATGGTTGGCGTTTGGGAATCCGGATTCAATTTTACCCTTTTTTTTGTTTTGGTTGTTACCCTATTTTCATATGTTAAGCGCTTTTCGCCCACAAAATTGTTGACTTTGGAGCACATCTCTGCACACATCCTGCGTTTGTCTGGGCACGGGCTTCTCGATATTGGGTCACATCACGGAACGCTTCCCTTTACTCCCATCGAAGTAGTTTTCATTCTGTGGTGCCTTTTGTTCAAGGAGGGGGGTGATAAGGACAAAGCTGGTTTTGACACTATGAATGGGAGGGGGCTTAACCAAAGTAGTTTTCACATATTGGCCAGAAATACAGCAAGTCCAATTACCCCTGAACACAAATAAGCAACGACGATGCGGAGTCGTCGACGGAAAGTGCGAGGACACTATCTGACCAGTTTTTGATGTGGCTAGCCGCTAGCCTCGGTGATTTGTTAGTTCCTTGAGGGTCCAAGTACCTAATGCATTATCGTAAACTCCCCCAAATAGTAACCTACATAGCTACTGTCCGAAACCTAAACCCTAAACCCTAAATCCGAAACCCTAAACTCGAAATCCTAAACCCTAAACCCTACACCTGAGCATCTAATTATTCATGTTGGGTCCTTTGTTTCGGGGTGCCTTTCGTTTCAACGCTATCATCTTCGGCTCTCGAAGATGTTTGGACTGGTTCAGGGTACCGTTTACCTATAGACCCTAAGACGTAGTAGCTTTTGGGATGCCGCAATTTCTGATTAAAGCATCCTATAACCATCAATCAGGTTACCAAAAAAAAGTACTAAGTTCTAGATCCTGGGGTCTAGGTAGGGTTTGAAGCTTGCGTTTTCGGGTTCACACAAGCAGCAACCCTAAACCTAAACCCTAAACCCTTAAACCCTTAAGCCCTAAACTCTAAAGCCTAAGCCCGGTCTAGTTGCCGCAGTGCGCGGTTCTCTGCAGGCCTATCCCCAGTCCTTAAGAACGAAATGACCCTTAAAAGCTGGGGCCCTATACCCTTATACTATGAATCCCTATATGGTATATGAACTCTAATCCCCTTTAGGTGTCATTTCGTCCTTAAGGGTGATCATAAAAACAGCGCACTAGCCGAGGTCCCTAAAGCCCTAACCCTAAGGGTCCAAAGGGACCCAATACTTAGGTACTCGGTTTTAGGATGGTAGTTGTGTAGGTTAGGATTTGGAAGACTATATGACTATTAGGCACGTGGACCCTTAGACCTAACCTTAATGACGAAATGACCTTAAGAGTAGGGGCCCCATACCCTTATATTATGAATCCCTATATGGTTTATGGACCCTAATCCCTTTTAGGGGTCATTTCGTCTTTAAAGGAAACTGACTGACTAAGCCTAATGCACCCGAGCCCCTAAATTTGGTCTGTACAAAGCTCTCGTTTTTGATTTAAGGATCATTAGGCTTCGGGGGGCATGTTCGCAGTCAAGCTCTGAAACCCTAAACCCTAAACCTTCAACCCTACGATGCCCACCCGCCGCAGGTGGCTGATGCTTATGCCACCCTGGCAGATCCCGTGCGAAGGCAGAAGTACGAAGCTGGGCTGCAAGCTGGTTGCTGCTGAAGTGGGAGCTAGGATTAGGGGGACCCTTGGGGATATAAACCCTCTCAATAAGGTCCCTTTTAAGCGAGCCAAAAGTAGGGTTCAGAAGGGGTACCCTTTTAAGGGGTACCCCTAATAATACTACCTATGAAGGTAGACTTACTAACATGCCAAAAAAGTGTCTCTTTGGAAAAAGGGGGTGGTTGAGTTTAGAGAGGACATGAGCTCAAAGCAAAAAGCAATAATCGGGTACTTTGAGTGCACGTAGCGCTAGCTACTGATTTCAATTTCGCAGGGTTGGGGTGTTGAGGTTTCGGGCCAGTGCAAACGTTTCAAAACGTTTGTTCACGTGTATACGTGAATACTTGTAAAGAATACACAATTTCGATTGTATGCATGCAGCATTGCTACCCGAAGGGTCCATGTATCCGTATTACTATATGAGTACACAGACCCTTAGGGCTAGGGAGCAGTGTAGACCATAACGCCTCCAAAGCAGAGTGAAGCATCCTAAACTTGAACTGGGGTACCCTAAATAATAGGTGCCGTATTATAATAAGGACCCAAAAGGGGACCATTAATTTTGACAACCACCCATGTGGTTCTTATAACTTCGCTTTATTACTAAGGTCTACCCTCTTATTCCCACTTTGAGAAACTTGCAGGGGTCCTAAGCACAACCCGTAAGGATCCTCATGACATAATCATAGGAACCCTAAAGGGTTTAGGGTTCAGGGTTCTAAAAACACTGGGCCTCTGTGAAAGAACTCGACTTAGTGCAGGTTGCCAGTAATATCAGCAAAGAATGTATGTACTTCGCACCGTGGTAACCTAAACCCTAGACCCTAAACCCTAAACCCTAAACCCTAAACCCTAAACCTAAATGAAAGTCGTTATGAAGAGCCCGGAAACCCTGAAACGCCGTTAAACCCTCAAGCCCGAAATCCGGACACCGAAACCTTAAACCCCAAGGCCAAAACCCTAAACCCTAAACCGGCTTAGGGTTTAGGGTTTAGGGTTTAGGGTTTAGGGTTTAGGGTTTAGGGTTTAGGGTTTAGGGTTTAGTTAGGGTAAACCCCAAACTAAACCCTGGAAATTGTGAACGAACCCTCAACCCCTAAATGGCTCTGAGCAATCCATTTAACCCTTAGACGGAAAGCGAACCGCCCCTCCAAAGGATCTGCAGGGGCTTGCTGGCTTGGCCTTCTTCCGCCAAGAGCTCAGAGCTGGTTTCAAACATTCCTTTAAAATGCTTCATTTAAAGGGTTCCTTCAAAGCTTTTTAGGGGTTCCTTCAAAGTGTTTAAAGGGTTTCTTCAAAGTGTTTAAAGGATGCCTTCAAAGTTTTTAAAGGCTCCTTCGAAGGATTCCTTCAAAGGGTTCCTTTATAAAGGGTTTCTTTACCGGGTTCCGTTAAAGATCTGTCCGAGCAGCGGCCGAGCTTTGTGGTTTTTGCTCCAAGAAGGGTTTGGCACGAGCTTTTGCCGCACTTTTCAAGAGTGTTACAAGCTTTGCTTAATCTGTTCCATGAGAGCTTTATGACGGTTTCAAAAGAATAATTTTGTAATGGTTTTGTACTGTAGTCGCCGCATGATGAAACCCGTCTTTGCCAGATCTTAAAATTGGGATGACCGCCATATAGCTTGTTCAGGGAGCCTGGTACGAATCAGGGATCTACATTAGTAGATGCGTAGGGCTGTGTAATCCTAAAACCAACTAAGCAGGTACCCGGGTAGAGGATTGTAAGTAACCCTAAACCCTAAACCCTTAAACCCAAATTCTAAACCCTAAACCCTAAACTCTAAACCCTAAACCCAAGAATAGGTTTAGTCCTGGGAAGTTTACGACCCGGAGGTCCAGGAAGCTTTCAGAGCTTATTGTGCAGCGGTGACTGACCCCCAAGGCTCAAATAGCCCAACAGCCTCAGGTTAGGGATTTAGGGCTTAGGGTTTAGGGTTTAGGGTTTAGGGGTTTAGGGTTTAGGGGTTTAGGGTTTAGGGTTCTTTTTTCTTTGGTCCCCACAGCCTTAAATAATAGGGTCTTTGGTCCCTAAACCCTAAACCCTAAACCCTAAACCCTAAACCCCAAAAAAGGCCCCCAAAAAATGCATCCTCAGAGCCTTAGTGTCCGGGACTCCTGTGTGGATTCTTGCGAAACCTTCGACAATTCGGGGTTCACCTGCTGCCTCTTATTGAGGGTTTAGGGTTTAGGGTTTAGGGTTTAGGGGTATCGGGGAGCAACTAAATCTTAGGGGTTGAGTAGGTAACCTTTAACCTTTTGGGGCTTCTATAATCCTACCTTAATTCAAAGGTCAACCTTTTTTGGGGCTAGGGTACTCAGCCCCCAAGACATGTACTTTAGCAGATATCTTCGTTCTAGGCCGCAAACTGCCAGTCAGAGGGCAAGGTGTTCCGGCTTTCTGCCGGCGTCGGAACATCGAGATCCTTAAGGACGAAATGGCCCTTAAAAGAGTAGGGGCCCCATACCCTTTTTTTATGAATCCCTATATGGTTTATGAACCCTAATCCCTTTTAGAGGCCTTTTCGTCCTCAAGGATCTGGGAACTCTACCCAGGAGCCTCATGCACGCCTCCAATCCGGAAACACCCCAAACTTGAAACCGACACCAAAACTCTGCCCAAAAAGCGTAATGCATCAAGGGCGCTTGTGAAGAAAAGGAAGCACAGACTCAATTTCTGGATTTAAATGTTAAGCCCCAGTCGTTTGCGCTAAACCCCAACCCCTAAATCCTAAACGCTAGCAACACCAGTAGGCTGAAGCCACCAAAACCCTGCCAGAAGCCATGTAGATCCCTGAACGAGACCTTATATGATTAATCACCTTAAGCCTTAAACTGAACCCTGAACCCTTAATCCCATGAACTCCAAGCCCTAAACTCCCAAAGCAAACCCTAAACCCCTGAGCCCCTAAACCCCTAAACCCTAAAACCCTAAACCCTATACCTTAGACCCTAAACCTCTAAACCCTAAACCCCTAAACCCTAAACCTCTAAACCCTAAACCCTAAACCCTAAAGCCTGACCCTTAATCTCTAAACCCGTAAACCCTAAACCCTAAACCCTAAATCTCTAAACCTCTAAACCCTAAACCCTAAACCCCAAAGCCCTAAACCCCAAAGCCCTAAACCTCTAAACTCCTAAACCCTAAACCCCAAAACCCTAAACCCTTAGGCAGCAACGCCACTCGGCTCTTTGGCCCACCGCCTTGGAGAGACTCCCGGCTTCAAGAGCTTCAGGGGCTTTAGGGGTTAAGGGTACTGTAGGGTTTAGGGGTTCCTTTAAGGGTACTGTAGGATTTAGGGTTTTAGGGTTTGGGGTTTAGGGTTTAGGGTTTAAGTTTAGGGTTTAGGGATTAGGGTTTCCTTTAAGGGTACTTTAGGGTTTAGTGTTTTATGGGTTTAGGGGTTCCTTTAAGGGTACTTTGGGGTTTAGGATTTCCTTTAAGGGTACTGTAGGGTTTAGGGTTTAGGGTTTTGGGTTTAGGGTTTAGGGGTTCCTTT